GAAAGAGGAAGAGGTAATAATAGTCGTGGAAGGAGTCGTGGTCGAGGGGGAGGTAGAAGCAGAGCCATGTGGTATGCCAACAATAGAGGTCGACCACAGTCTTATTACAACAAAAACCAATACCGAAATAATGACGACGACAATTATCAATACCAACAACAACCATATCAACAACAACAATACCATCGAGGGTACAACAACAGCTACAACTGATGTAAACTGATACCAATAGTCACTCACAGGTTGTTGTCAACGCGTTGATATATATACAATAAGCTTACCTGATACCAATAGTCACTCACAGGTTGTTGTCAACGCGTGAGCGAGTTGGTATCAGTCAATGTTATACAAGTACTGTGGGATAGTAACACAAGTGTGTCGTCATATTCCAACACTTCCCCTCGACACACTTTTCCTCACAGTTGTGAAACCCCGAAATCCGTCATTTTCCAAACTTTTTCATAAGGAGGTGATGACCAAAATCTCAAATTTGGCCCCCCCCCACCCCTCCACCCCAGTTGCGCTCCGGGGGCCCCCTCCCCCCCCTCCGGAGCGCCATCACCATCATCTTCACGACTGCTGGGCGACACTTTTAGACCCATCATGTCTCGACACCTTGCCAGCTTTATTTTATCCAAAGGCTTGGTAAGTGCATCAGCCGGTGTTTTATCAGTACGACAAGATTCGATCTTGATTGTGTTTTTACTAACTTCATCTCTAACAAAGTGGTATTTCACATCAATGTGTTTTGTACGAGTGGTGCTACTTGGATAGTTGGCCAAACGTTTGCATCCAGTATTATCTTCCAGTATTGACGTAGCCTCCGCCATATTATATCCAAGTTGATGGAGGAGCTGCCTAGCCCATATCACTTCTCGAGCTGTAGCAGCCAGAGCAATATATTCTGCTTCTACCGTGGAAGTAGCAACACAATCCTGTTTACTACTAATCCAACTCACAATGCCTTCACCCATGAATAGTGCCACTCCTGACCTAGACTTACGGTCATTGTGGTCACCGGCCCAGTCAGCATCACTATATGCGTACAGTCGAGCATCAACACCACCCAAGGTAAGTTCCATTTCTAGAGTACCCTTTATATACCGCAGTATTCGTTTCACTCCTAACCAATCGCACTGTGTAGGATGGCCACTAAACTGTGCCAATATACTGACACTGACTGCCAAGTCTGGTCTAGTCCCTCTCATCAAGTAGAGGAGTTTGCCTAGAGCTCGTCTATACTTGGTTGGATCAACTGGTGTATTGGCTTCACCACATTGACATCCATGGGTTTTATATTCCTTCAACTCAGTAGTCGCTGGCGGCAAGTATTGACATGGATTAGACACCATCGGTGTCGCAGCTGATTTGCAATCCTCCATACCAAATTCAGCTAATATGTCCTTTACATACTGCCGTTGATTCAAATACATGAGTCTGCGGTCTAGATCTCGACGTATCTGTATACCAAGAAACAAGTCAATGTCTCCACATCTAGTCATTTGGAAGGTCTTCTCCATTTCACTTTCGAAAGCCTCAAGTGCTTCAACACTTTGAGAGGCCACACACATATCATCAATATGCACCAGCAACTGTACTTCCCCTCGTTTACTGGAATATATGGACGGTTCAGTAGGATGTTGAGAGTAGCCATGCTCCTTCAACCAATTAAACAGTGTCAGATACCAGGCTCGAGGTGCCTGCTTTAAGCCATATAAGGCCTTCTTCAGCAAGCACACTCGACTATCTCCTCGAGAAGCAAATCCGTGGGGCTGTTCCATATACACCACTTCCTTTTCATCCAACTTGCCATTCAAAAACGCCGTTTTGACATCAAGTTGGTGAACAATACAGCCATCTGATGCTGCTTTAGATAAAAATATACGGAGACCATTCAGATGAGAGGTTGGTGCAAATGTTTCGTTGTAGTCTATGCCAAGGCGTTGTGCAAACCCTTTTGCTACCCATCTAGCTTTGAACTTGTCAATGGCACCAGAGCTGTTATACTTAATATGGTACACCCATTTTCCTTTGATTGTCTTTGCTTTGGCCGGTAAGGTGACAAGATCCCAAGTTTCGTTGCGACGGAGTGATTCCATTTCAGCTTCCATCGCAGCTAACCATTCTGCTGCTTCGGGCCCATTCATAGCCTGCTGATATGTCTCAGGGTCAACAATGGCTACTTGCCCCCACTCTCCATATTTCTCAGGAGGTCCAACATCACGAGTGCTTCGGCGAAGCTCTGGGTTTATATCAGGTGGTGGTTCTACTCGTGGTAGAGCGGCAACATATGGCATTCTTATTACATAAGGTTCGTCATCATCGTCATCCACATTATCATCGTCATCCACATTATCATCGTTTCGGTCCTCATCATCAAGATCATCATCATGCTGATCAGGAAGCTGTGGTCCAACTCGTCCATGCCTATCCTGTATATCTCCACGTGCCAGCGCGTCAAGGAAGGTCGGAGGTGTGGCTGGTCGTTGTGGGTCATCTTCCCCTGTTGGTACTACTCTTCCGGCTCCGTTTACTCTCGCTTGTGGTGCTAACACGGGCGGTTGGGCAGAGGTGACTATCAAGACTTCAGGTTGACTGACACTGACAGCTATTGGTTTTGCAGTATCTTCAATAATCAATTGTTCATCATCAAAGCTTACATTCTTTAATGGCCTTTTGTAGAAGGTCTCATTTTCAAACCAATACCGATCGTGGACGTCACGACTAAAATATACTCGACGTCCAATTGGATCGTACATCTTGTACCCTTTTATCTTTCGATCATTTGGTCCATCGTAACCCAAGAATATGTTAGGCTCTAGCACAGCATA